CATGGCGGAGCGGGAGTAGGGCAGAAAGTGGCAGAAGGTGGGATATCTCGCCCAGGCTGCCAACATCCCGCCATTCGACGATTCTGCAACACCCCAACGCAAACTACGGAATCAAAGAAACTCGGGTAGCTCAACTTCGTCGCCACCATGTCAGCATCCGCGGTTTCTGCTGGGCAGTCTCAGAATGCCACTTTTAGAGTACGAGGAGCTCGCGCAGGTCCCCTAAGCTGTGAAACCCCCCGCTAACAAGCTCCCAGGACAAGGAGAAGCCCATGGCTGTGCGGTCGTCCAACATTGTCGCCGCCAGAGGTGCGAACAACTCCAGCCGAGCCTAGGAAATGAGTTTGCTAACATGTATACAGCTGTTGCTGATGCTATTCGAACTTCCCTCGGCCCTCGAGGCATGGACAAGATGATCCGAAGCGGAAAGGGCGAGACAATCATTACAAACGATGGACACACTATGCTGAAGAGCATGTCGGTTATGCACCCTACCGCCAAGATGCTGGTGAACCTCGCTGGCGCTCAAGATGTCGAAGCTGGCGATGGCACAACCTCCGTCGTTGTCATCTGTGGTAGCTTGCTTGGTGCTGCAGACCGACTCCTGTCAAAAGGCATCCATCCCTCGGTCATCTCAGAGTCCTTCCAGCGTGCATCAGCTGCCGCCGTGGAAGTACTTCACGATATGTCCCAACCGATTACCCTTAACGATACCTCTGCTCTTCTGCAGGCTGCCAACACCTCACTGTCGTCCAAGATTGTTTCGCAATACTCGAACCTGCTTGGCCCGATGGCTGTTGACTCCGTGACAAAGGTGATCGATGTCAAGACAGCCGATAACGTTGATTTGAGAAACATTCGAATTGTCAAGAAGGTTGGAGGCACTATCGAGGATAGCGAGCTTGTTCCTGGTCTGGTCCTTAACCAGCCAGTTCTAAAGAACGCCGGCGGCCCCATCAGAATGGAGAAGGCACGCATCGGCCTTATTCAGTTCCAGCTCAGCCCGCCCAAGCCAGACGTAAGCTCTAATTTCTGGAGACGAAACGCTGATATATATACTTACTTTTGTTTCAGATGGAAAACACGATCCAGGTCAACGACTACAGACAAATGGATAAGATTGTCAAGGAGGAGCGTCTGTACCTCCTCAACATGGCTAAGAAGATAAAAAAGGCCAAGTGCAACGTTCTTCTTATCCAGAAATCGATTCTGCGCGACGCTGTCAACGACTTGTCACTACATTTCTTGGCCAAGCTGGGAATTCTTGCCATCAAGGATATTGAGCGAGACGAAGTGGAGTTCATTTGCAAATCAACTGGCTGCAAGCCTATTGCGGACATTGATTCTTTCACTGAGGATAAGCTGGGATATGCTGAACTAGTCGAGGAAGCGGAATCTTCAGGCTCACGCATGGTCAAGGTCACCGGTGCCAAGGCTACCGGAAAGACTGTCTCCATCGTTGTCAGAGGAGCCAACTCGCTGATTTTGGAGGAGGCGGAGCGAAGTTTGCACGATGCTCTCTGCGTTATGCGCTGCTTGGTTAAGAAGAAGGCCCTCATCGCTGGTGGAGGTGCTGCCGAAATTGAGATAGCCGCCCAGCTGTCCAAGCAAGCTCGTAGCTTGACGGGCACTGAGGCCATCTGCTGGAAGGCATTTGCAGATGCTATGGAGGTTGTTCCTACCACTCTGGCTGAAAATGCTGGGCTGAACAGTATCAAGGTTGTCACGGACTTGAGACACCGACATGAGATGGGAGAGAAGAATGCTGGAGTCAGCATCAAGTCTGGCGGTGTCAATACAAACATCTCCAAGGAGAATGTCTTGCAGCCGCTGCTCGTGAGTACGAGTGCTATCGAGCTAGCTGCTGAGACGGTGAAGATGATTCTGAGAATAGACGACATTGCCTTGACGCGATAAGGCGGAGACTTGAGCGGGTTGATGTATGATAATATCTACCACAAAAAGGGAATAGACCAAAAATGGGGGATTAAGTGATACCAGATAAATTGAATTGCCATCCGCTCGCTGCCTTGGTGCAGTAATGTGAAGTACCTAGGTAGGCAGACAGATGTGATGCTCTCAAGTACGGCAGCGGCACCAGGTCGTTCCTTCCTCTTTGGTGCCTGCATGGCCAACAAACCAAAACCAGGCCCTGGCGTCTCGGCCTTGTTTCTCACGAAATTCCTATTCTACAATTTGCACAGGATTGCCCATTCGACATTGTGCGGACCCTGGACCTACGGCTTTTCTAGACCAACCCTTGGGAAAGCTCACATGTGAGCGCGTTGACGGCTGCCCGCCATGCCTCGACGAAGCACTCGCAACCAATCTGGAGACGATTCCGATCCCAGTATCATTGCCATGAAAGCACCACAGCGCATCTACCAGGTAGATTTGTTGCCCGCAGATACCTTTCAATGACAACTGTGCTGATGTGTCACTCGCAGCTAAAACAGGAGCGAGACGAACGTGCCAGAGCAATTATGGCCGAAGCAGAGAAGGCACTGGCATCTGTGAAAAAGCGAGCAGTGACATACCAGGAGGAAAAACGCCGAAAAAGGTAGTGCCTGTCACCACTTGGGTTGAATTTTTTTTTTCGCAACTAATGACTGCCTAGCGCAGCCAAACTCGCGCAGCAACTAAAAAAGGTCATTGAGCTTGTCGAGAAGAGAAAACAAATTGAGAACAAGATGCTGCAAGTTGTGGCGGATGTACATGCTTCAATGCAAGAGGTTGAAGAGATGATGCTGGCAGGATACAAGGGTCGACACAAGGAGGCCAAACAAACATTGAATGCTCTCGGTGCCAAGGTTCACCAGCGCAAGGAATGACGCTCACGGGATATCGTTTTATCAATCTTGCAAGCATTCACTCGATAATGAAGTCTACTGGAAGCATACTCAAAGGGGCGAGGGTGCAAGGCAGTCACAAACACATACCAAATCCCACATGTGTCAGATGTAATAATCGTACATTGTCGTTTGTCTAAATAGGAGAGGGGGTATCCAATGCCTTGTATTATTTCCGTTTTTTCCGTAAACCGTCTAATGCACAAATAGTATACACGGGCGCTTGTTGGCCGGATAATCGAGAGGGAGAAGAGCAGCGTCGTGTGCAATTACACCTTGTATCCGAAGCCAAGCATACAGCTCCTGTACTGCTCGACAAAGGATTTGCAATCGGCGGCGGGATCGGATGCTTTTGAGAATAACATGCACTCGTCTCGCTTGGACTTTTCCTCTTTGCACACGCAGCACGGCTGTGATTTGGGCGTCAGTTCATATCCATTGCAATCGGATTGACCAAGCTGGACAAGCGAGGATGCGGACCGACCTTGGGCTTCTGGGTGTTGTCGGATGCAGCGGCGGGCGCGGATTCCGCCGACGAGGCTGTTTAGGGAGTGAGCATTGGATGGATGGAGCACAGAGAGGACAATTTGCGTACGGAAGGAAATGGACTTGGCGTCCATGATGTTGTATTATAATGCGGTGGTGGTGGAAGAGCAAGCGAAAGTTTGACGTTGGCTTGTTACAGGCTCTTTTTTTTTTTTTTCGTTTAATTTGCCGTTGCCGTTGACAGAGGTGCGACAGTGACGAATGTCAAGCTGCATGTGGCGTGGGTTGAACAAAGTTGGGTGGTGTATTTCTAAGCTTGGTGTGGCCAATCATGCGACTAGAAATTTGCGCAGGTACACCAGACATGTACTGCTGCTGGCCGGGTGTGTTGACGCCACGGCCCAAGTTGCTGAAGATTGAATTCGAATTCATCAATTCAGGAAGAAGAAGCTCCCAGGTGCCCATCGCCCGCGAGTAGGCGAGTAGAACTGGCGCCGGTGACGAGTATCTGTCAATGACGGACAGCCAGAGTCATGATTGACGCCTATGCGGCTACTGCTGCCTACCACCAATCAATCGAGCGAAAGGCGCCGAGTCAAACTTTGACCCATCAATGATCAAGCTGTCAACGGAACCCGGCACACGCATCAATCTACAGTACATACTTAGATGGGACGCAGGTCCGGCTGCCGCACCCGGTGAAAGGGCTCCGTCAAACGAGCAGCTCCATGCCCGAAAGGCCGACCAGACATGAGCTTGCAACCAGACAGTTGCAACACTTACGAAGTAGTACTTTACTTGCTTGGACACTAAGAGACGCCAGTGCAATAAAGAGCCGAGAGCCACGCGGCTCCAGGGCTCCAGGGGAAGAAAATCAGTGGCGTCGTCAAACGAGTGTGACTCAGTCACTCACTCCCATCCGGGGCGCCGTTACGCTTCTTACGTGGCTGCTCGACTGGCCACAGTCCGCCCGTGGCAAACTAATTTCAATACTGCTGCTCTGTACTCGTAGCGCGACGACGCCAACGGCCCCAAGCGGGCGGGAGTAGTATGCAAGAGCTGAAGATCGGGCGTCCGGAGATGGTGTCGCACCCGACATCTGGTCCAACACCAGGCCGCGTGTGGACGCGCGGCGACGGTCTTGCCTGCTGCCAATCGATGATGCGACAGCCCATATCGTCGCAAGTGCATGACCGGCTCCGTAGGCATCTGCGTCGTTTCACTACCGTCAAGATGAAGCGGATTGCGTTGGCCCTTGATTGCCTTGCCAGGCAGGCACTTGCGTGGAGTTTTGCCCGGACCGAGGACGATGGTGGTGGGCGTTGTAAGTGAACAAAGTATATAAGCATGTTATATCGCCATGTAGAGTTTGTTGTTTCGTCAGAGAACCAGTCTCTTCAACTCCCCGACAACCATCCCTTTACACGCCTTAAACACACAATCACTTGGCTGTTGATAATAATGTCCCCCGATCAAGAACACAATCAACACCCACCCCCAAGCTTCTGGGACTTTATCCCGGGCTTTGCTCATTTATCCCGGGCTTTGCTCAGACCCGCCCCGGCAACGGTGTAGACCACCACAACCCTCAACCTACTCCCCAATTCTCAGGCGGCTTCCCCTTTGGAGGGCCGTGGCATCACGGGCCGCCTCCGCCTCCTCATCATGGCGGACCACCTCACCGTCCTCCTCCTCCGGGAGTAGGCCATGGTCCCTGGGAGGCAGACTTTGATTGGGGCCAGTGGTATGGCCACGACCACGACCACGACCAT